ATATTAAATGCATATATGCACATTCCATGATAAATGTGTCTGTACACATCAGGTTCTAATACAAATACATGCTGCTGCTGCTGCTGCTGCTGCTGCTGCAGGTTGCTGAGGCGATTGACCTCACGGGGTCGAAGCGCATAAACTACTTGGAGTTCCTGCAGGCATTCCACGTGGTGGACAGCAGCTCAAACAACAATCTTGCTGAAGAGGTGAGCAGCAGCAGCAGCAGCAACAGCAGCAGCAGCAGCAACAGGAGGAGGCTAGGCCAGGCAGCAGTCTCTAGCTGCCGCCTGGATCGAGGCCATTCCTTGTCCTTTTTGCGCGTTTGTTCTTTTAAATCCAAATAAATAAAACAAAAATGCAAATTAAAATAAATATAATCATTTATAATTGTGTTTAAAACAAATTTATTCCAAACATTTCCCGAATTGTCTTCCTCCACCATTTTGCCGCTCCGCCAGCCCCCGTCCAGTATCTTCCATACCCTGAATACCTTTCTGCTTCTCCTTGCTGCCGCCTCTGCTGCTGCCGCCTCTGCTGCTGCTGCCGCCTCTGCCGCTGCTGCTGCTGCTGCTGCTGCAGCTGTGGGGCCAGATCTGCACGACTCTGTTCCAGCACTCGAACAGCATTCGGCGCGCGCTGCACCAGTTCGACCCGGACTTGACCGGCAAAGTCGACTCCGAGGACTTCCGTGCTGCGCTCGTCACTCTCAACACTGTCCTCGCGAGAACAGAGTAACTGCTGCTGCTGCTGCTGCTGCTGCTGCTGCTGCTGCAGTTGCTGTGGGTGCTGATGCGGGTGGTGTGGGTGGTGCTGATGCGGGTGGTGTGGATGGTGCTGGGGTTGCGGATGCCGGTGCTCTTGGTGGTGCGGAGATCTTCTTGGTGCTGCTGTTCGTGTTGCTGCTGATGTTGCTGCTGATGCTCTTCTGGTTGTTGCTGCTGCTGCTGCTCGTGCTGCTGCTGCTGCTCTTGGTGCTGCTGCAGCTCTTGCCGGTGCTGCTTCTCTTGCTGCTGCGTCTGCTTTTCTTGCTGCTTCTGCTTCTGTTGCTGTTGCCCGTGCTGCTGCTGCTGCTGCTGCTGCTGCTGCTGCTGGGAGTGCCGCAGCAGCGGCAGCAGGGCGCACTAGCCTGTGGACTGCTGCGGGCGTGGGGTTTGCTGCTGGGCCTCAGGGCTCCGCTGACGGAGGAGCAAATAGACTTGTTGGTGAACTTCATGGACTTGGACAGCGAAGGAATGGTGGAATATGAAGAGTTTTTGGATTCTTTTATTCCAGTTGACAGCTACTGCACCGGCCCCAGCGGCTTGCCGGTGCTGCCGGACTCGGGGGGCGAGGAGGGCGCAGCAGCAGCAACAGCAGCAGCAGCAGCGGCGCCGCTGCCCAACGGCTGCAGCAGCAGCAGCAGCGGCGCCGGCAGCGGCAGCGCTGCAGCGACACAGCCAGCCCCGACCAGTAAGAACCTGCCCGCGGGGGCCCCCGAGAAGCCTGCTGCTGCTGCTGCTTCTGGTGCTGCTGCTGCTGCTGGCGCGGGAAAAAGCAGCAAACAATCCATGGAAGTGGATGACGGGGCCCGGCGGTTTGACTTCACCAGCCAAGTGGGCAGGTAGCTCGGGTGTACCTACACCCCAGACTCCCGCCCCTTCTTCCGGGGGCCAAACAGGGAAGCCTCCGCGCACCAACTTAACTCATTTAAGCCCTTTTGAACTTGCCCAGTCTTCGCAGCTAGCTAGCTAGCCAGCTAGCCAGCTAGCTAGCTAGGTGGCCAGAGGGACCAGCTAGCCGGCTAGCTAGCTAGCTAGGTAGTTGGCTACAGAGGGACCCCGAAATAGCTAGCTAGCGAGCTAGTTTTCCACATAGGGACCCATGAGTGGCTAGCTAGCTAGCTAGTTGGCCACAGAGGGACCCTTGCACAGCTAGCTAGCTGGCTAGATGGCCACAGAGGGACCCCTAGTTGGCTGGCTAGCTGGCCGCTGAGACACCCTGTAGCTAGCTAGCTAGCGAGCTGGCCACAGGGGGACCCCCCAGCTAGGTAGCTAGCTACCTACCTACCTACCCCCTTGATAGCTAGCTAGCTAGCTACCCGCCAGCTAGCTAGCTAGCTAGCTGACTAGCTAGCTAGCAAGCTATCTACCCCCTAGATAGCTAGCTAACTAGTTAGCTCTCCAGGTAGCTAGCCAGATGCTGAAGTGCATTTTAGGAAATGTGTGGCGGGGCAGATTTGAAGGGAAATAAAAAAGAAATAAAAAGAAATTAAAAAAAGAAATAATTTCTATTTTCAAAATTAATTAAAATCAAAAGACTCATTAGAAGTTTTGCCAAAAAGCATGGGGTGTACGTACACCGCGCGCGCTGGGGCGCAGGCCTATACAGAGAGGTCAGCTCGTGCAGCTCTGCTGCTGCTGCGTGCTGCTGCTGCTGCGTGCTGCTGCTGCTGCTGCTGCTTGCTGCTGCGTGCTGCGGCTACTTGCTGCTGTTGCTGCTACTTGCTGCTGCGTGCTGTTGCTGCTTGCTGCCGCTGCTGCTGCTTGCTGCTGGCAGCTGAGAGGCGCAGCTAAGGGGCAGCAGGCCCTTGAGCAGCTGCTGCCGATTAAGGCCCTCCAGGGGCAAACAATCTTCAACAGCAAAAGGCCCCTGGCGCGTCCTGACCTGCAGCAAAAAGCAAAATGTGCTGCTGCTGCTGCTTCGGCGGGCTCTCCCCGCCAAACCTCTGCAGCTCTGAGGAGGCGACTGGCCCCCCTAGGCGCAGCAGAGCAGCAGCAGCAGCAGCAAGCAGCAGCAGCAGGCAGCAGCAGCAAGCGGTAGCAGCAGGCAGCTGCAGCAAGCAGCAGCAACAAGCAGCAGCAGCTTGCAGGAAGCAGTAGCAGGCAGCAGCGAGCAGCAGCAAGCAGCAGCAAACAGCAGCTGCCAGCAGCAGCACGCAGCAGTGAACAGCAGCAGGCATCCGCGAGCAGCAGCAAGCATCCGCGAGCAGCAGCAACAGCTGAGCGGGTGCTGCTGCTGCTCTCACCAGCAGCACGAGGTGGGCGACAGTGCCGAGAGCAGCAGCAACATCTGCTGCTAGTTGTCTTATGTAAGTGCCTTTGGAGCAGCAAACGGCGAAGTCAAAGAAAGGCAGCTGCATGCATGCATGCATGCATGCATG